AGAGAGAGATTGTGGTTCGCTATTGATGGGACAAATTACATCAATCTCTTCGTAAACGTTATCGATTTTGCTTTTTAAAAAGTATATATATGATATTGACGAGAGCCGAAGGCAAACTACTGAGATTTTATAATCTGAACTAAGTCAAGAATTCTGCGAAGTGGATTCGTATGATCATAGAATTAAATGAATATGATCAAACAGCAAAGTTTAGAATTTGAAAAAAATTGTTTCGTCATGGTGCGTAATCACTTTTCAATTGGGCAGGCAGTTTTCAATATAGATTTTTATTTTATCTAGCATATTAAATTACAGCATATCTAGCTTTTTATAAAATACAGTAAAATGCCATGGGTTTAATATTCGAAATTATTTTATTCGAATGATGCTCATTGGATTGATTAGTCTTTTGACTCATCGTAAGTGAGCTTAAGGTCCGTATATCGTTATTCTATCGGGAGTGAAAGCGCATCTCTCAAAGGCTGCTCTTCGAAACGTACATCCACTAGTATCTTAATGGCTGCCACCTCTGCTTCAGAGCACCCCTTTTCCAGCGGTTTCTCCCCGCCCACATATCACTACACAGGTATGTGTGCAAAGAAGGAACAAAGAGAATGCTGAGCGATGCAGTGGTCCAGTTATAACAGCTTTTACCCAATGCACCTGCTAACGATATCTACGGTGATACGTGTAGAATGGCATTGGTGCTATTGTTGGTATTGTTCAAGGTGCCATGTTCCCAGATGACTGTTTCGTAGTTACATATGAATGCAGAAAATTCTCACGGGTCTCTCTTTAAGTACAGTTTTGCAGATTCATGAACGATTTGTTTACACAACCGGTACTTCAGCTATTTCTTTCGTCTAGTGCCGGTGCTTCTATGTCTATTAGAATTTAGCAAATATTTTACGAATGGTTGCATCATCTGACCAAAAGGCTGTTGAATCTTGCGTATTGAACATTTTAAAATAGGGGTTTATAAGTTCTCCAGATCTCTTTTTACCACTAACGAAAACAACAGATATAATTGACCCTACCAATATAAGGTTCTTTGAGAATGAGACAGTAGCAGCAAATTCGTTTGCACGGGAGAGATTGTTCGTCTTTCCTCACACGTCTATTACAATCAAATTGGCATGTTTAACAAGCTAAATTTAGTGCAGTTGATTACGAAGGAGGCTTCGTGGCTACCTGGTGGCTGGGATGTTGCTCAGATACCTAATCATAATTCTTGTCCCGAACTATATTACGTTATTAGTGTATTTATTGAGAACAAA